TTCTAGGAGTGACTGGAGATCGAGTGGGGTTGGCAATATCACAGGTGCTCAGTCTACTGGGCATATTGCAATATGGAGTGAGAGGAAGAAAGTATTTAAATTATACTGAGTTGAGAAATGTTGTAATTTATATTCTTTTTGTCCAAAACAGGTACCGATGTTATGAATCAGCTAACTTCTGTGGAGCGTATATTAAATTATGGTCAATTGGAGCCTGAACCACAGCCAGAAGTGCCACAAAAAGTCTCATCAGATTGGCCACCAAAAGGGAGGATTGAATTCAAACGTGTTTCATATCGTTATTCGGCTGATGATGAACCAGTTTTACGCGGATTGTCATTCTCTGTGGCACCCAAAGAGAAAGTTAGTATCGTCGGCAGAACAGGAGCTGGTAAGTCATCATTGATCAGTTCGATCTTTCGATTGGCAATCGTCGATGGCGACATACTTTTGGACGAAATTAACACATCGTCGGTTGATTTGAATGTATTGAGATCGAGAATATCGATTATACCCCAAGAGCCAACTCTTTTTTCGGGCACTTTGAGAAGGTATACACCATGTTAAAATTTTCAAAAACTAAAAAGAAATTAATAATTTTCTTTTGTCAGGAATTTGGATCCATTCGAAGAGTATTCAGACGATGATATTTGGAATGCGCTTGATAATGTTGAGCTAAAGGAATTTGTATCGAAAAATACCGGATTGCAAATGCCCGTTTTGGCTCACGGGCAGAATTTAAGTACAGGCCAAAGACAAATCTTATGCTTGGCTCGAGCGATCTTGAAGAAAAATCGTATCATTATCCTTGATGAAGCGACAGCAAATGTCGATCTACAGTAAGAATTTTCTCATCTTTCACTTTTGTACTGAAAAAAACTCAAATACGCCCTTCTTTGTTCGTAGAACGGATGAAATGATTCAAAAGACAATGCGAGAGAAATTTACTGGCGCAACAGTCATAACAGTGGCTCATCGACTCAATACCGTTATCGATTCAGATCGAGTATTGGTTATGGATGATGGCGTCGCAATGGAATTTGATGCACCATACCTATTGATGCAAAAAGAAGACGGAGCTTTTCGAAATATGGTTGAAGCACTTGGACAACAAGAATACAATCGTTTATATTCAAGAGCAAAAGATACATTTGAAAAAAAAGGCAAAACTAATGTCAGATGTGTTTAGCAAATAAAAATTGTGAAGTGTGAACTCAAATACAAACACAAAAAATGTTGGACATTTCAACTTTAAGTTGTCATTTACATAACCTAGATCTTTTCAGTGTAGTTTAAATGTACCACATCTGCATATTAACCAAGAAACCATTGTTCTGGGAATTTTCAGATCTAAAATGCGTTGAAAAATTATTTATAAGCACCTTAAAATGTTGGAGTGATTACCGGTAATTACAGGTGATTACAGAAGTGTGCAAGATGCATGAATTTAATAGAGTAGAGGGAAAGCAGTATGTGAAAACAATAGGAGTGATTGTTATACGATATACGATGAGAGTCTTTTTCAGTGCTACTGCATCGCACCGAGCACTCTTAGTGAGTTGCATAAAACTCATTGTATTGCGAGTGTGACATGTCTCTGAGTCGCCATTGAGCGAGTAAATAATACTCAGTAGAGAAATGAGTGAGCAGCGACACACTCGTGAAATGCTCGCTTGAAATGATTGCATTATGAACTATTTTCTAATTATTTTGTCAATAATTTTCAGTGTTAATTTTTCAAATGCATTTTTGTAAACTATTCGTAATAAATTATTTTGAATTTGTTTTCCTTTCTGACAATACACAACAAAAATCACACAAAAACATTTAAAGTAAGATGATAAATTAAGAATTTTCGCTGATTCAGGTTTTTTCGTATGAGCCGCAATAAATTGGAACAACATAATCATTCTATGTTGTTGCTTTTTTTCTTTGTATTTGTTTTGATATCGACTTTATCTATATTTTTTAAATGTTTTTTCTCGAGTTTTTTCTTCAGTTTTTATTTTTTAACAAACAATGTGATGCGAGCGAGAAATGACTCACTCACCGTATGAATTGAGTGTGAAGTGAGCTGCTCACTTTCATTCGTTCAGCGAGTATACAAGCGCACCAAGCATGCAAAGAGCTCACTGTATTGAGTTACGAAACGAACTGAGCGTGCATTTCATAGCACTGGTGTTTTTATACTTATAGCAACCACCTCTATTATTCAGCGCCTGACATCAGCCAGATGATCTGAAATGGAAGTATCTAAATATATTGTCTGCCCTTACAATACTTTCCACTTACACACCATACTATCATGACTATCATTTGATATAATTCAGAGAGAGAAACCGCTGATATCGCAAAATAGAAATTTCAATTTTTTTGTTATTTCTCTAAATTCACTTGATGGTATGACTCATTTTACCATCTGTAATTCTGTATAAGATCGAAAAATGCCATTTAAATTTTGATTTTACCATCTGTATTTCCTAAGAGTAATAATCTTTGATAACCATCCAAAAATGTATCACACATATAATTTGGTTTCATCTAAATTTCCTAAATCAACATCGTAAACTGCGCAAAATGAATTTATTATAATATATTTTCTTTAATTTGCTGAATCTAAGAGAGTAGTATTTATGCCCAACTGGTATTAACTTTCAGTTTCGAAAAGTCGAAGGAGAATATTATTTAATTCCTTCGTTAGATATACACCTAGTATGAAAAAGGTATTTTCTGTCAAATTATCACGCAACATCTTGTAATTCAAATGGGTTTAAGAATTTTAATTATTATGATTAAAGTAATTTTATAACAATAGAATACTAAGAATTCGTGTTAATTTGGTAACCGTTAAAAATATTAAAAAAATTGCGTCACTTCAATTGGACATCTGTCGAAATATGAGATAATATGACCCCGCCGTTCGAAACAACTGTGAAAAAGAAATTACAAATGGAACAAATTAACTTGATAACCACTGTCTAATACGTCCAGTGTTCGGTAAAATCCAATTTTTGAGTATCTAAATAAGATAAGA